TCCGCATAAGAGAGAGCCCGGCCTAGATCCGGCCCTTAAATAAACTTCCTGACCCTGCTTTACCCACTGATCAGCTGTAAGAGGTGAAACTCCCTGTCCACCGAGAGATCAGCCTGGCTCCTCCTCCTACCAAGGCATCCACAGCTGATGATGACTGTGGTGTCAGCCCTTACAATGAGCTGCCCTGGGTCTCTGCTGACAGCTCAAGGGTCTCGTAGATCCCAAAGCTGGAAGGGATCCCTGTGATCATCTCATCTGTCCCTCTGTCTGACCCAGGGCTCTGAATTAATCCCTGCTTGAACCAGAGCAGATCTCTTAGGAAAACATCCCAGCTTGATTTAAACCTGGCCAGAGCTGGATAATGCGCCGCAGCACATGGCGGGGAAATGTAAAGCAGGATGCTCACGTTCTATCCCCAGCATTGGGAGAGTATTGGGGTCTAGTGGGGGGGGCTAGATACCAGGACTCCCAGAGCCTGAACAGGGGCCGGGGGGAGGCAGGGAGGGAAGAGGTGTTTTAGCACAGCCCAAGCTGTTCTCTCCCCTTAATGTCCTGGGATCTGCCAGTCAAAAGGACCCATGTCCCAGCCACCTACTCAGCAAGCAGCCAGATCGCTGTTCTCCTGTACCCTCCCTGCCTAGGCACTGACCCACAAGGCCCTCTCCTGCTTGCCTGAGGCTCTCCCTCCTCTAGCACTCTCCTGCCCTGATCCTGTTCTTGCTCAGGGGGCACCTTGCCTGGGCCGCCTTCAAGGTCTGTGCCTTCAATGTGTACAGCTTTGGAGAGGCCAAGTGGCCAATACACGGGTGATAAGTACACTGGTTGAGGTGTGGGCTGGGGGAGGGCAGCTTGCTGGGGGGTGGCTCTGAGACCAGCCTGGCTCCACAGGAGGGTTTTAGGGACCAGCCTGGCTCTGGAGGGATGGGGGGTGCGTCTGTCATGGGCTCTGCCCGGGGAACAGGCGCTGATGAAGCAAGCACGCTGCCTGGCTGCCCACGGCCCCCTGCTCAGAGTGTGTCTCTGCAGATCCTGGTGCTCTGTGACATTGCCATGGTGCAACAGGTCTGAGACACCACGGGAGACGCTGTCCTGGCCCTAGCGAAGGAACTGACCGGGTACTGGGTCCAGCCAGGTTGCCTGGGTTCTTTCCCTGGTTCTCAAAGGGGGAATGGGTCTAGTGGGCTGGAGAGCAGGGGAGCTGGGCACTATCCCTGGCTCGGGTGCGGAAAGGCAGGGGGTGAATGAGGTGACGTTCACAGCTCTTTCCCAGGGCAGGTACAACCCAGTTGAGGACCCAGGGAGATGGGTATGGGACCTACAAGGAGAGGATCATCTTTGTGTATCGGTAAATTCTCCCCAAAGCACCCTCGGTGTCAGGGTGCCGTGTTCCATTCCCCCCCCCCCCCCTTGAGCCAGCCAGTCCCCCTGCTTGGGGTCTGGATTGGAGCTGGCATCCCCTACAGAGGAAAGGCCCCGTGTCCCATTTCCCTCCCCACACACACACACACTCCCAAACCAACCAATCTACTTCCCTGCCCTGGGGCCAGATCGGAGCTGGCACCCATGCAGACATCATGCTCTGGACTGGCTGTGACCCTGCTTTCCTGGAAGGTCAGACATGATGTCGGTCACCAACTGGTGCCAGTTTGGGTATGAGGAGGCTGGAGAAGCTGGGGACTTTGCCAGGGGGCTCTTTGCTGCCAGATTCCAGGCATCCAGCACAAGTGGGTCCCCCGGTGACCTCCCTGATGCCCTCCTCAGTGCCCCCGGTGCCTCTGTGGGACACAGAGAGCCCCAGACAGAGAGGAGTGGGTGGGGAGCAATAGAGGGGTGCAGTGGTCTCAGTCCCCCCACCCCGCAGTTTATAGGTTAACTCCTCTGGGCACGTATTGCAGGGAGTTGGGGGGGGGTCTCTACCCCCAAAGCAGATGACAGGAGCAGATCTCCAGCCCAGCAGCTCTCCCACAAAACCAGGCTGTTCCCCCGGGGTACACAGACGGGGATGGAAGACTAGGAGTTTGGGTTCAAGGAGGCAGGAGAGGCTTGTCAGTTTAATCTAAATTGACCTTGTAATCGTGATATCCACTCAGTCCACACCTAATCTTCTGTCTTTCTCTCTCTGTCTCTCTTTTGCTCTCTTTCTAACAACTCTAAGGACAAAACAAGACCAAAGGATTAGCAGAAGGGAAGAAAAAGCCCTGGAGAAAGGATGGAGACACACTGCACGAATGCCCCCCCCGCTTCCCTGTAATGAGGGCTCGGGTCCTAAACACTTGTTTCAGTGGGCTTAAGCCCCCTAGAAGTGACATATAGAAGGACATCCCTGTAAATGGTGATCAATGTCCTTGGCCTCCAAACAAGCGATTTGGGTATCCATTACGTATCTGAAGCTCAAGGACCACGCTTAAATATGGGCTCCGGTCTCTTTATGTTTCACACGTTTGGGATCTAGTCTTTTAAATGCACTGTGTGACTGATCTCTCCGTGCAACAAGAGTTCAGTTCCCCACCCCCCATACTGAGATGGAGTGGCCTTCCACTGAGCTGGAGGGGGAGGGACCACTCTCTGATCCCTGATGGGCGGAGCCAGGCTGGGCTCACCCTTAAGGAGCGGGACAGGAAGTATAAAAGGCGGAGCCTCTAATGCAGTTCTGACTGAGCCATGGAAGGGTGCAGGTGTTTTCAGATGGCTTGTGAGCTTACAGTGTGCCTGGTCTGAGGATGAGACTGACCCAGAAGAAGAGCTGCTGGGGTTGCTGCTTGCTGTATACCTTGAGGAGATGCAGGTACCTTAAGGGGAGAGAGGAAGAAGTAGCTCAGGGACAGCTGACTGTAGTTCAGTGGCTGCCTGAATGCTGGTCGGTGTGTTTTGGTTGGCCTAGTGGTGGAACACTGTCATGGTTAGAGCCCTGGGCTGGGTCCTCCTATGCCCTGTTGCCAACCCCACCCTGGGGTGGTAGCTTCCCCACCTTAGGCTCACAGGCCTATTTCTCTGTATGGCCTGGGCCTCTAAACTGCTTGCCTGCCTGGGAGCTTGGTCTCCTTGAGACCATTGAAGTGAACTGAATTGTCCCACCTAAGATCTAATCCCTGATAGGGGTAGTGCCGCAGGGGTGTAGTGAGATGGATTGGCCTTCCACTGAGCTGGATGGGGAGGGATCTGCCAACCCATTAAACCCCCAGTCTAGCTTCTCTTGGGCCTCAGGCAACTGTGGGGCAAAAAGACCCTTGGCTACTGAGAGAATGTAGGTCTCTCCCTTTTCCCCACTCTGAGTTCTGGCTTCTTTTCATGTCTTTCTCTAATGACCACCTTTTAGGAAGGGTTTGGATCACCTTTCCCATGTGTATTTAGTCATGGGTCACTTTGATGTGCCAGGCAAAATGACTGCCCTGTAAACCCATTGTAAGGTCTTAACCCTCTCATTCTTAAAATAGTGGGCATTCTTGTGCCTTGAGGCCATTGCTGCCTGACTGCTGGTCAAGAAATGCATGGCTACAGGGGCACAACTATTCATTAATAAGCTGATTTATTTTTTTAAGCCATAGTTTCAGGTAAATGCATAACACTGGCTTGTCAAACATCAATAAAATCATTGGATTATAACTGGGATGGACCAGAGTGGGGACTGGATGCAGGAGGGAAAGTTGGAGGAGTCTGATAAAGGGATAGCCTGTGACCGTGTTTGGTTCAGCACTACAATTCAAACTCAGATGTAGCAATGCAAGGCACGTTATCCAGGGAGGAAGAGTGAGTGTATGATGCTTTCAATGCCCCAGATCTTAAAATCTGGCCTCCCCAGTGCACTAAACAATAGGTGAGCGGTTTAAGTGTCTCCAAGTATAAGGAGTAATGCTAGAAAGGGTGATAAACAAAAGTGGAAAAGAGAACACTTCTAAAACTAACTTCACCTAAGCAGGCTTGTTAACTGCATTCACTTCCCAGATGCTTGAACCTCCTTGGTTGAAGGACCCAATGGTCTGATTTCGAGAGACCAGGCCTCTTGAATCCTCTAAGTCATGGAGAACTCCAATGTCTTCACCCCCGTTGTTGGGGTGTACTTGCCACATGGGCCCTCAGAGGCCAGGCAGGCCCAATTAATCAGCAAATAGGTAGGCTAAGAGGAGGTTCCTGATTGGAAGGAAGCTCTGACTTGTGGGGGAACAGGCGGGACTTATGTAAAGCTCAGAGACTGGCAACAGAAAGATGGCTGTAGGATGAAGAAGAGTGTAAAGAATATTTGAGTATCCATAATTCCTCATAGTGCAAAATAGATGTTTCAAAATATTAATCGCCAGTGTATCACAGGCTTCCATACAAGACCTCACTTGATGCACTTTTATAGTACATAAGGCTGTACATGAATTGTGGCCAAAAATTGCAGCCAAGCCATGGAAAATGGTGGAGAAATATTACTGTAAATAAGGTCCATTATTAAAGTCCATTACTTTTTCTGTAATTTAGAGTAGCCACCCAGGGCTCCCACTGTCAAAATGGCACTAGAAGCCTAATATTGTTGCATCTGCAAGTTAAATAGGGCCTTAATAGTATAGTAAGAATGTTTATACAATTAGCTGATTCAATTGCTTATTATTTAAGGGTCAGACCTACTGTCCTTACAGTTAAGAGGATGTCTCCCCACTCTCTAGGTAGGTAGCTGTTTACCTTTTTATGTAAATGTACCTTCATTGTCTCTGCCTGATGACCAAGCTGGTAAGACAAGCAAATACACCTTACTTTGTTTAAGGCAGGCTGTATTTATGTATTGCTTGTCAAATTTTAAGAGCATAATTTGAACACAGTTATAACTTTGTGTGCACCCCATATAAAAATATTAATGATCAGTGAGTTTAGTTTTCCAATGATCCTTACATGCCACTCTGTCCTGATAGATACCCAAAGTGTATTTGCTGTAGTGAGCATATCAGGCCTGCTGAGAATTTGATACTCAACAGTAAACCACCACTGGGCCTCTGTCAAAGGGAGGGTGTATTGTAACTTACCAGTCATAGGCTCTGGTTCCTGCCATGACTTGGGGGTCCTCCCTAGGTTCATTGGGGTGAGGGTGGGGTGGTCTTCCTCAGCTGGCTCCACTGGGTACCAAAAAACACATGCTACTTGCCTTCCAAGGCATCCTCCTCAGCATTCCATCCGCCTCCTGGTCTGACAGGGTGGAGGAGGGGGTCATGACTCATTTCTGGCTGTGCATTGAAAGCGGTTGACAGCACCCGTCATGCTCCTTGAAGGGGCACATACAGTGAGCCCACCTGGAGCAACTGTTGAAGTGTTTTGCCCTCTTGTATGAGAGCCTCCAGTGCTTGATTCCTTCTGGTCCTGGGCTGAAATCTGCTCCTCCAGCTCAGTGAAATTTCTTGGTATGGGTGACTCTTTCTGCCATTCCAGGAGAAGCCATAGAGGATGGTGTACTCTGACCAGACATTGATCGACACCTGGATGTGGTGGTGGGCCAGGTGGCTGCTCTCAAAACAGGATCTGGAAAAAGGAGTAAATGGTGAGGTGGCAAAATTTGCTGATACAAATCTAATCAAGATAGTCAGGTCTTTGAAGTCTACCTGGGACTTAAAAGAGGATCTCTCAAAACTCGGTGACCAGCCAACAAAATGGCAGACGAACCTTCAATGTTGATAAATGCAAAGTAATGCACATTGGAAAACATAATCCCAACTATACCTACGAAATGATGGGGTCTGAATTAGATGTTCCTGCTCAAGGAAGATCTTGGAGTCATTGTGGATGTTTTTCTGGAAACATCCACTCAATGCGCAGCAGCAGTCAAAAAAGCAAACAGAATGCTGGCTATCACTAGAAGGGATAGAGAATACAACAGAAAATATCTTATTGCCTCTATATAAATCCATGGCATGCCCACACCTTGAATACCATATGCACATGTGGTTCCCAATCAAAAAAGATCTATTGGAAAAGGGCAACTGTCAAGGCTGATTCCCCACTCTGGCACTTCCAGTGCAGAAGGTGGGGGCCTGCAAGGATTCTAAAAATTAATACTGGCCACTCCAGCCTTGTAGTAAACTTCCAAGGTTACTGCTTCTCTCTCTGACCTTGGATGGATAGATGCTGCCACCACCACCAAGTGCAAAAACCCCTTTGGGAATTCCTCCCTGTGGGGTACCCTCAAGCCCTTTCTCACACACCCCTTTAGGAAAGAGCTGAGAAGAAAACAAAGGAAATCAGCTGTTGCCACCAGCTAATTAAACATCATAGGCACAAACTTCTTAGGGACACAAATCCAAATCTGTTCTTCAAGGTAAATTTTATTAAATGAAAAAATACATCTGGAACTCAGGCTTTTGCTAGATTTTAAAAACCCCACTGTTAAAAATTAAACATCAAGAATAACCTTCCTGAGGTCCAGCTTAATGGTTACAAGCAAAACAAAAGCATTTGGGGTTAGCGCAGAGGCGTTCACAAGCCAATAAGAAATAAACACCGATAAACCTAATTGGGTCTTTCTAGACACTTCCTGATCTACTTATTTGAAACCCCAGATACATAAATAAGTAGTTCTAGGTATGATATGATTTTTTTCCATACCTGGCTTAAAGCTTCTTACAGCATTGCTGCTTGTCTCCTCTCTCCAGAGAACAACAAAGGAAAGTGTGTGTGTGGTTCTCTCCCCACCCTGCAATTTTAACAAGTTCCAGCCCTCCCTATGGCTCTTTTGGTCAGGTGACACTCCCTTCCTTTTGTCTGTGGACTTTTTAACCCTTTACAGGTAAAGCAAGTAGAGAACAGCTACTAACAGGGATTTTTATAGTTGACTGGCTGGGTGCCCATAAAATGGGGCTTCCCCCTTCATTTATCATTGCAACAAAAATTATTAGGGGTGTGGAATGGCTCCTGTATGAGGAGAGAGATAAGATGGACTTTGGAAAATAGAGTAAGGGGGCTATGATAGAGGTTTATAAAATCATGACTGGTGTGGAGAAAGTGAATAAGGAAGTGTTATGTACTCCTTCTCATAACACAAGAACAAGGGGTCACCAAATGAAATTAATAGGCAGCCAGTTTTTTCTTAAAAAAAGGAAGGCATTTTTCACACAATGCAGAGTCAGTCCGTGGAACTCTTTGCCAGAAGATGTTGTGAAGGCCAAGACTATAACAGGGTTCAAAAAAACTAGATAAATTCACGGAGGATAGGTTCATTAATAGCTATTAGCCAGGATGGGCAGGGATACAGCTTCTGGCAAAAAGAGGCTCGGGACTGTGAGTGACAGGGAAGGGATCACTTGATGATCATCTGTTCTGTTCATTCCCTCTGGGGCACCTGGCATTGGCCACTGTCAGAAGACAGGGTACTGGGCTAGATGGACCTTTGGTCTGACCCAGTATGGCCATTCTTATGATCCGTTCTCACTTGTGAAGAGTGCGGCAGAAAGCAATTCTGATATGGTCAGTGCAACATGCTGCTACTGGTGAGAATGGGGGTGCAGGGCACTTTACAGATTGGGTAATGGTCAAGTAGAAAAGGGTTCAGTATGTAGTGAGAATGTGGGTGGAGGACTACTACCAGGTCTCTCGTTTATGTCCCTTACTCCCATCCATGCTGGAAACTGGCACAGGTATGGAAGGAGAGTGTTTACCCACCCCTCAGGCATACTAGCCTACTCACACTCTTCTTGCCTTCAGACACATGCTTCTGGGCTTTCGGTGTGGACAATAGAGGGCTATGGACACCTCTACAGCTCTCAGGGTAGAGGTACCCTTAGAAATCCACACTCTGTCACATTACCTGGGGTCTGGCTACTAACCAACTCTTAAACAACAAGAGACAAAATGTTGGGATGATCTATGTCCTGCTGTCTGGGGAGGGTCACGACAGTGCCAACTTCTGAGTAGACTGTGTCAAAAAGCAGGGCAGATGCCCCAAACTGGTTGTATGATCTACAATTGGATTTCATCAGCCTACTAACAAATGAACTCCAGAAGCATGATACCAGTCAGTCCCATTTGGTTTTCCAGTCTGTCTTGCCACTCAGGCAAGCTGAACTTAGAGATAGTTGGTTGCCATACACCAAAGATCATGAAAGATTCAGGTTGCTTTCAGTCCCAAGGGACCACTTACCCTCGGTCAGATCTCACACCACAGACAACACTTGTAGCCAGCCTATAGCCAACAAAGGATTTAACTAGGAAAAAGAAATGAGTTATTTACAGGTTAAAGCAGGCATTAATTATATATAACAAATGAGTTTCCAGTTAATGTCAATCTGGATTCGGTGCTTACAGATGACTACAAGGATCTCTGCTTTTTAGCTTCAGCCCTGTGAGTCTGAACAGCGAAGAGCTGCCATGAACACTTTTATCCATCTTTATTTCCTTCTTCCAGAATTCAAGCTGATGGGATGAGCCCTTTTGCACCTAGCCCATGCAGGAGCAGTTAACAAGTCTTTGTATGGTGGTGATCCATGGCCCATTTAGTTTTGGTAGGCCCTACTGCCCACTGGAATGACTTTCCTAGGGATTTAGCACTAGGTAAAGACTTCTTGTTTGTTAATTATATAGTTCAGAACAAATATTTTAAATCTATATAGCCAACACTGAAGTATCACTTTATAGCATGGTCTATAGACATTAGAAGTAGGATTCATACATTAGTCCTTAGGAAAGGCTTGCAAGTCCACTACCCATCTTAATTATACCAACACACAGGTGAGCTGAACTGGTTTCAAGCAATGAGTTTTAGTGCTTGGCTGAGGCCTAAAAGCTGCCATTTGATCTGCCAGTGTCACAATGTAATCCAGGAATTCATGGCAAAAGTTCTGTATTTTCCTCTTCTTGAGAGCATATCAGACTTCAGTGAGGAACCCAGAATCCTAATATTGATCCTTCTACAAGGAGGAGTAATGTTAGGCACTGCAGGATATTTTAGGTCATCTAAACTACAAGTTACCAAACTATATATAAATTAGGGGTGTAGTTTTTGTTGTACTAATATAGCTATACTAGTATGAAGTGCCTTATGCTGGTATATCTTATGTTGCTTCCAGAACAGTATATTCCAGGATACCTGTTACTGCAGCCATTCTGCTAGCAGCTAACTATGCCACTGAAGTAGCAAAACCTTGTAGTGCAGACAAGCCCTGAGCAATGAAAATTGATGCTTGTTGATCCGAGAAAGATGTGACCTTCTCAATGTGAATAAAAATCTACAAAGACTAAACTTGACATTCACACTTGTGAAGAATGAGGGAAACATTTTGGGCCTGACCCTTCAAATTTATTTGCATTGTAATTGTGCAGAATTTGGTGCGCAGTAAGTGGGCATGGGCATAGGACATTTGTGGATGTAAACTGACTTAATGCAAAACTTGCCATTTCTCCATGCAAATACTTGATTTGTGTGTGCAGTTTTAATAAAAATTTTTTAAAACATGGGCACTTAATCCACTTGGCAGGTAGCCATGCAAATGTACAGTACTGCATGAGCCACCTGAAATCTCCTATGGTTACCTAAGCAAATATTCTGAATGTGTCTAGAAAGGAAATTCTCAATTAGGTTATGAAACAGTTTCATGCCTATAAACTGTAAAGCACTTAGCTGACAAGTTGCCAGAATAGAATGTTATGTGTACTCACGGTTGAGACTGGATTTCTAGAAAACTAATCTGGAGGCATCCTAGAAATGACTTAAGTCCTCCTGAGCACTGAATATAAGGCTGACCAAACAGCTGGGGTCTAAGCACACAGCTAATAAACCGATAGGAACACTGATCTCCTGTAACAAAAGTACAAAACAATAAATGGGCTCCAATAATCGTTTGTTTGAAGCTGACACTTTTAGAAGCCTGTGTACATTCCAGGGTTCATATGTCCTTTCATTTCCATACAGATTGTAGCCACAGGGCTATGTTGGACAGATGACCATGTTCTGAAAGGTGGTTTCCCAAATATAGATTACCCAGTCCTTCCTGGCCATGAAGGAGCTGGGATTGTCAAGAGTCTTGGCGAAGGAGTTCCTTTTGTGGAAATAAGGATTCCATTTTGAAAATGGAAGCCAGAAAGCTGTCTGTAATCTACACAAGAGGTCGAGGGCTTGTTCATGCACCACTGAAGTTAATGGGAGTATTACCATTGACCCCAATGGGAGCGGGAGCAGGCTGCTACTGTGTGAATATTCAATGAAGTCAAAATGTAGCTTTCTAATATACAGATTAATGATTAGTGCTAGATCGGCATGCAGTGAAGGGGAAGCAAATCTCCTTTAGGCCTTTTCTGGTTCTCTAACCCAGATTCTAAAACGTATTACTCAATGGTTGCCTGCTCAGTACAAAGCCATCTCAACATTTTCACTCGGCAGGGGGACTACTGGCTTTCTTTCGTCTAATGAGCACTGGGAGGCCACCAAGCAAAACTTATTAAATTCCCTGTCACTGGAATAGAAATAACTTGGGTAACAGGGCCTATATTAAGTTGAGACTTGCAATTCATCCTTTTGCTTACAACTGAATAGCTTTAAGGAAGAAAATTCACCTCTTGGATGGAGTATTGTAACTGTATGATCCTAATTCTTGATACTCATCTAAAATTAGATGAGAATTCTTAAAGCTTAGCTGCTGTTAAATTTTGTGAATAAACTCTCTGTACACTTCAAGTACTAAAAATGATGCTTCCCAATCTCCAGCTGACAGGTAAAGCAGACTTTTTTTTTTTCAGAAGACCACATAATACAATGCTTGATTGAAAAGCCAGACTTGTTGCCTGGCAGTTAATCATGAGTCTGTTTGGTTCAGGAGCATTTAAGACCAAATCTGTTGGCCTTTTCCTAAGTCTCCTCTCTCTCTCTCTCTGTCTCCCTCAGTGTGGTGAATGCAGCTCCTGTTTTGAATCCTGACATCAACTGTTGCCTGAAGACTGTGAGTCTTTAACTTTGTTACCTATATCTCACCCGCTGACAATATTAGCCATGCCTTAAAGAACTGTCAAGTCTGGATGTCGCCCAGCCGCTTCTCCGAGTCACAAGAACTGCACACTCCCCTCCCAAGGGAAGCAGATCCACTGATTCCTGTGGATAATCAGCACCTTTGTAGAATACAGTTGTGCCCAATTCTGTCTCAGCAAGAATTGCTGCTGCATCTCCTCCTCTGAATGAAGTCTGTCTGCTTGGTTGTGGGTTTTCCACTGGATATGGGCTGCCATCAATACTTGTATG